GTTTTATCTTGGCCAGATATATACATGGGCCATTCGAGGTCAAGTGTCCCAGACATAGCGCTCGACCATTGCAGATTCTGCCAATAGAATTTACACCTCTTTCCTATACGTCAAGGAGTATTGTGGCCACACACTTTTACTCGAAAAAAATTTTTTATGACTGTGGTTCCCCCTTAAAGTTTGCCTGCTTTTGCTAAAGTGTGCACAATATAAAAAATGCATATAAAATTCATATATGTTTGTATAACTTCGAAACAGTGTTTGAGCTACTAAATAAGTTTTGTTTAATGGCGATACTGAACCGTTCCGAAGTTTTTTTGTTTACTTACCAGCTAGGCCTTTTCAGAAACAACAAGAACCTTCAAAGTTTGCCATTTTTTTCCTGTGCTAGCTGGAACTCTCTCTAAACAATCTCAATATTACCATGGTTTTCAGGAAAGCTTATTTTATACAAAAATGTTTAGGAGTGTAATAGATATCAAATATTCAGAAAAAAATTGAAATCAGCAAAAGTATGCTGTTTGATTGTGTTTTTCGTGCTGATGCGGGCCAAGAAAAAAAATTTTCATGATGCGGGGTTCGATAAACAACTTAATGTTTAAGCATCTAAGAAAGTCTAATAAAATCTTTTTTTTTTTGTTTTCAGAAAGAAAATATTTTTTGAAGTTCGCTCTCAAAATGCACCCTGCATTTCCTTGTTACCACCTCACCGCAAAGCTCTTGGTCGCCCTTTCGGCTGACACTCGTCACGGGAAGCTGCAAGGTGTGAGATGTATGTCAGCGGCTAATGAGAGGTCGAAAGTCTTGTTGCTTTGATGTCAAGTCTACAAGTATTGAGTTCGCTTTATGATGTGAGCTTGCTTGGCATGCCTGTTGGGAAGTGTGGAAGCCGTACAGTAGCTCACAGTATCGCTGGCTGTCTGCACAACCAGTGTGCCTATGAGAAAGTGTACACAATGTCATTTATTTGTCTCGGTCTCTGTGTACTAGTAGTGCAGACAGCCCTGTAGCACAATGTGCCAACAATACTGCAAGGTTCTGCATGTATATGGATATGTGGGTTTTAACATCCCAAAACCACCATATGATTATGAGAGACCCCGTAGTGGAGGGCTTCGGAAATTTCTACCACCTGGGGTTCAGTAATGTGCACCGAAATCTGAGCACACGGGCCTACAACATTTCTGCCTCCATCAGAAGTGCAGCCGCCGCAGCCGAGATTCGATCCTGCGACCTGCGGTTCAGCAGCCGAGTACCTTAGCCACTAGACCACCACGGCGCGGCAAAGGTGCTGTACGGCTTCCATACTTCCCAATTGGCATGCCAAGCAAGCTCAATTCATAAAGTCAACTCAATACTCATAGACTCGACATCAAAGCAACGAGACTTTCAACCTCTCACTAGCCGCTGACATACATCTCGCACTTTGCCGCTTCCTGCGATGAGTGTCAGCTGAAAGGGCGACCACGAGCTTTGCGGTGAAGTGGCAACAAAGAAATGCCGGGTGCATTCTGAGGGCCAACTTCAAAAAAATATTTTCTTTCTTAAAACAAAAAATGAGTTGATTAGACTTTCTCGGTTGCTTAAACATTAAGTGGTCTTTCAAATGCCGCATCATGTGAATTTTTTGCTTGGACTGCATCAGTATGAAAAATAAGATCAAACAGGGGACAAATCGCATATTTTTGCCAATTTGAAAATTTTCTTCAGGAAGCTTTGAAGTATATTTCGCCCCTAAACATTTTTTTACGAAAGTAAACTTTCCCACAGTAATATTGAAATTGCTTAGAGAGAGTTCCAGCTGGCACAGGAAAAAATGGCGAACTTTGAAGATTTTTGTGGTTTTTTGAAAAGGCCTAGATGCCAGGTAAACACAAAAGTTTCGAAACGGTTTAGTACCACCACTAAACAAAACCTCTTTAGTAGCTCAAGTGAAGTTGCACAAACAGATATGAATTTTTACATACATTATTTTTTTGTGCACACTTAGCAAAAGCAGGCAAACTTTGAGGGGGTGCCACAGTTCTGAAAAATTTTTTTTCCAGCAAAAGTGTTTGGCCGCAATGCTCCATGGGTTAGATCACAAAGGTGTCAATTTTATCCACAGAATTTGCGATGGTCGAGCGCTACGTCTCGGACATATGACATGGAATGACCCTCATATTTTTTCATATTTACTGCACGTGCTCAGAACATTTTGAGCGCATATGGTAAGTATGTTTACTAAATTATATGGAGTACTGGATTTTTATTTCTATTTCTCAAGGGTTTATTTCCAGTGTACAGCTGTTTCCAAGCAGACGTGACGGTCATGAAATTTGTTTTTAATTATTATGGAGAACCTGAAAAACTTGGGGAATTTGGAAAAATAAAATTGTAAGGATACCTTGGTGGTTGCTTTTGTTAGTTTGTCATTTATGCGACAGATTACACTGATCGTTTTCTCCCAACCATCTTTTTTGGCCTTCTCGCATATTCACTCCATTCGTTCTGCTAGCCTGCATTTCATAGTTTTGTTTGACTGCCTGCCTGGCCAGCATTGCCCGCACATAATATGCTTCATGTCGTGGTGGCTTTTGGGTGTCTCTATGTTACAATTTAAGATTTTAAGGACTGAAAAAAAAAAAAAAGCGTTTATTGATTGTACGAACTTCCCAATTCAATAAAATAATGGAAGCATAGGGATGGATTTGTTAAATTATGTTTCAGGTGCATAAGTGCAATAAACTTTGCCAGAATTCGAAACATCATTGCAGTAAAAAAATATCAAGACTTTTTGGGCCTTGAAATTCCTTGAATACCTTTGAAGTTTTCTTTGACGTTTTCTTTGAAGCCTGTATGAACTGTTTTTGTGGCTGTACCATTTTGCATTTGACCACAATCACCACTTTGATTTCTAGTTGCAGTAGCTGTATTTAATGGATGTGGAATGTAAATAACACATATGTTCGAAGCATTTGGGCCATGTTAATGAGCTTCAGTTCGTGTAATTAAATTTGTAGCTTTCTTCTATGGTATGCCTTGTAGTCACTATGTTGCTGTGAGATTGTACCATAATTACTCGAATCTAACACGCACCTTTTTTCCGGTTAAGCGAGTTCATAAATCACATGCGCGTTAGAATCGAGTATGAAAAAAAAACGAATACGGTCATTCTATTGGCATCGGCATTTCCAAAATGGCCGCCCCTACGTGCGTCGGCATCGCGCGTCGGCCATTCCTGCCTATGTGTTTCCCATGTGCAGCACTTCGTACGTGTGCTGAGAAGTTCGTCATCTTGTAGTGCATTAGCATCGACGGCATGGAAGGGCCGACTCCATAAACTCGACGAGTGCACCACAATGCCACTTTTAAAAGAAAAGTCATCGCATGTGCCGAAACAGACGGAAATCGGGCCGCATCACGGTCGTTCGGAGTTCCCAAAACGTGCGTGTGGGACTGGCGAAAACAAAAGCAGAAGATTGTCAACAGCAAAGCTTCACGCAAAGGCTTCAGTGGACCACAGCAGGGTCTGTTTCCGCAAATTGAAGAACTGCTCGGCGAGTATGTGCTTGAGCAGCGAGCGGCACAGCGGCCCGTGACGGCAGAACTGCTCCAAGTTTGGGCTATGCAATTAGCCTTAGAAAAAAGTCTAACGCGGAGCCAGTTTAAAGCGAGCAGGTGCTGGCTAACCAACTTTATGAAGAGGAAAGGCTTTTCCCTCCGAAGGTGAACGGGCATATGCGAAAAGTTTTGCGGAGGAGTACGATGAAAAGCTTCACTGTTTTCAGAGGTTCGTCCTAAACTTGCGGCACAACAACAGCTACCTGCTTGGGCAAATCGGGAATGCTGGTCAGACGCCTCTTTACTTCGACATGCCTGGCACCACAACCGTCGAGAAAAAAGGGGCGAAGGAAGTTCGCGTGCTGACATCGGTCCATGGTAAAACTACAGGGATGGCGATGCTCTGTTACACGTCAGATGGGCACAAGCTTCCCCCGTACCTCATATTTAAATGGAAGACGCTCCCGAAAAGAGTTGTTTTTTCGAGTGGTGTGATCATGCGGGCCCGTGAGAAAAATGGGTGCACGTGGCAATTGATGTCTTACTTTTTTTTTTTCGTCGTGAAAATCGGGTGTGCGTTACTATGGACGGCGCGTTAGAATCGAGTAAATACGGTAAATAGTATCAACCAATGTGGCAAGGGGTGAGGATAGTTTCATAATGGAAGAATTAATTGGTAAACTTGGAGAACTTTGGCATTATTGCTAGTGTCACATAACACTGTAACTCAGCTTTATCGTGAGCATAACTTACTGCTCTGGTGATAAGAGTCTAGTTATTAACTTAGAGCCATCATATTTCTGAGGTACAGATTGAATACACTTCGGCCTCCCCCATAGTGCACTTCTATGGCACTTTGAAATGACCTGTTGACTTCTTAAGTGAAAAGAAAAATGGTTTATCTAAATACCTGGGTTTAAAATGCAGCACTATTCACATTTATTTATGGGTTTTCTCTAACCAAGGCTGGCAGCTCAGCGTTTCTGACTCTACGAAAACTTCAGCTGGGGAGCAGAATACAAGGCATTGTAATTATGGAGAACTTTGGCATTATTGCTAGTGTCACATAACACTGTAACTCAGCTTTATCGTGAGCATAACTTACTGCTCTGGTGATAAGAGTCTAGTTATTAACTTAGAGCCATCGTATTTCTGAGGTACAGATTGAATACACTTCCGCCTCCCCCATAGTGCACTTCTATGGCACTTTGAAATGACCTGTTGACTTCTTAAGTGAAAAGAAAAATGGTTTATCTAAATACCTGGGTTTAGGATGCAGCACTATTCACATTTATTTATGGGTTTTCTCTCAGCAAGGCTGGCAGCTCAGTGTTTCTGACTCTACGAAAACTTCAGCTGGGGAGCAGAATACAAGGCATTGTAATTATGAATATGGCACTATATTCTCTAAACATATTTGGACAAATTTTCTGATTGTTTAGGCCTATTCTATGCAGGGTTCAATTTCAAGTGGATGAAGTCTCAAGCATCATGAAGGACAACATCGAAAAAATTATGGAGCGAGGAGAAAGGTTGGAAGACCTTGAAGAAAAATCAGGTATGATGAGAATTTGCTTCGTCAAGCTTCTCTGCTATTAGCACAGCACCTAGTTGCTACTGTGGCCCGTCGACTTTGGTGTTTTACTTTGGTCAGTTAAACTTGGAGCTTGTTTTTGAGTCGTGACGGCAGCATTCAGGTTGCTTTGTTATGAGAAATAGTGTGGAAAAATAACTGGGCTGAGAAATATAAAGTACAAAACATGGCATTGTTTCATGTAAAAAGCATACTAACTCTGAGTCAGACTACTTTAAATTACCTTAGTACCCCAAGCAAGCACCCCAGCTTCCTTCTTCGGGGGGATTTCAGATATATGCCGCCTCTTCTCCCCTACCACTATTTTTATTGTTTCAGTCGCTGTTTCAGCGAAAACAGTGAATGCATGCATATTCAATAAAGAATTTCACTAGAAGCACGGGTGTGCAATCTTTAAACTTAGCGGCTCATCCTCCGTCATCTTGAATTTTGATCCTTGACCAAGCAAGGGCCCCCCTCCAAATGTAGTAAAATTGTCCTTCATCATTAGGAAAGTGGTTGCTTAGGATTTTATATTATGTTCAGGTGGTGCTCATACTCAATATGTTCATTTGTAGCAGCCAGAGTAGCAGTTGCAGCAGGCAGGGGTTTTACTTTTCATTGCAATACTCATGATTCGTACAAAAGCTGTTCAGGGTGAAGCGCTATGCTGTACTCACCTGTGCACTGTACAGGAAAAGAAAAGGAAAGAAAAGGCTGCGGTGGAATTTTCGCTCTCTCTCAAATGCCGATCTGCAACACGCCTTTGCCACGCTTCTCCCTTTTCCGTCCCTGCCACATAAAGACTTTTCTCCTTCCAATGCCGTGCGCAAAGAGAGAGAGAGAGAAAAAAAAAAGCTGTCACGGAGTGTGGCTCTCTCTCACGCACCTTTGCCACGCCCCCCTTTCTCGTCCCTGCCACATAACCCTTCTCCTTTAATTAACCCCGGGAAGACAGCAAAAAAAAAAAAGCTGCCGTGGAGTGTTGGTTTATCTCCAATGCCAATCTGCTCTCTCCGCATGGAGACGCTCCTCTTTTCTTGTCACGTGCTGGCCACACTGCAGCTTTGGCGCAGAGGATAGTAGCGGAGATGCAGTCATTGTTGTTGTCTTTAGATGGTGTTGGCGCTGGACATTGCCACGCACAACTTCTCTTGCCAAGAGAATGCTGAAGCCGAAGTAGACATGCTTTGCAAGCTGCATGCAAAATTGATTGACTCGCTGCAAGGTAAATGTGTGCAGACGCGCATCACCGATTACTTGAATTAATGACAGATGTCCTGTCGTTTGTGAATAAACATAAGTCTTCTGAAACTTCCCCCTCGTGTGTCAGCTCAATGCACATGCGCCACTGCATGGGGAGCCCTCTGTTTACTTAGCTTTCATTCATTCGAACTTCTTTTATTTTGAACAAATTTTTGGGCCCCTTCGAGTTTGAATTATCGAGATTTGTCTGTAGAATTTAAAGCTTATTCTTTTGGCAGTTACTTTTCTTCTGTGCTCCCGTAATCTCACGTCAGGTCACATATGAATATGCCTTGATCATGTGCCCTTGATAAACTCAGTCTACATGGAGTTGCTTAATAAAGTAGCTTGTTTTTGAGATTCAAATATTTCACATTTTCGCTTCATAGGAACTTTTCCTGATCAACATTTAGCTGGTCTCCTCCCTTTGTTTGCACCACTCATGGGCACAGGTTTCAGGCATGCAAAAAGCCATGATGCAGCTATGTTCACCCTTAAAAATTATTTTATTTGAGCTTTCATAATGAAAGGATTTCGTCACCATTTGCATTTCACTGAGTGTAGAATGCACTAAAGCATGATATTGATACATAACAGCCGCCACAACTTGGCTGCACGAATAAAAAGGAAGACGAAGTTAGTTTTGGTTATTGCTGAACTGGCGCCATCTTGCTCGCGGAGCTCTGTGTATCATAAATAGGTTATTAAAGAGGTTACTTGTAACACTATTGGTGGAGGTTGATGGCACAGGTACCTCGATGGAGACATGCAGCAGTTGCAACGCCGGCGACCCATCGACTGCTTCAACTGCTGGTACTTCCTCTCCGCTCCGGCGACCTCTTCAGCCCAAGCCAGGACCTATGTCACGCTCCCGCACCTCCGGGATCGGTGATGGTACCATCGATGTTGACGCCTGGCTAAACCGGTACGAGCGCGTCAGTGCTGCTCATTGCTGGGATCACACCCTTATTCTCGCCAATGTGCTTTTCTAATTCAATGGCACTCCGCGAATATAAAGAAAAGATCCGCGACCTGTTTGGTGATTCATCTGGTCGTCATCTTGCTGCGAAGAAACCTTTCGCCACATGGGCCCAGTCTTCTACTGAATCCTACGTATCCTACATTTTTGACGTCTTGGCCCTTTGCAGTAAGGCCGGCCAGAGCATGTCGGAAGACGAGAAGGTCAACCACGTTTTAAAAGGCATTGCCGACGATGCTTTCAACCTGTTGGTTTTTAACGTCATGAGCAGCTACACAATCTTTAAAGAATGACGACGTCTCAAACAAGCTAAAGCCTGCCACATAGCCCAAAGTATTGTGCGCCTTCCGAACACAGCGGCTACTTCTTCGTGTAACGATGCCTTCCACCAGGCCCCTCGACGTGACAAATTCACATGCATCATTCGTCGAAAGGTTTGAGACAGCACAACTGTTAGTCGAGCCATTCTTGACGCCTGAGCCTTCCCCGACCACGATCTCATTGATACAGGCTGGCGCTCGTCAAGAATGATCGAATGTTAACCTACATCCTGTTCCTCCTGTATACTCTGCTGAGCCTTTTTATCGTCCCCCTTCTGCTCCTCGCCTTGCTTCAACCTATTCTAGACAACACAATCTGTCTGAATGGCGTACTCTTGATGACAAGCCCATATGTTTCAACTGTCGGTGCATTGGTCGCATCGTTTGCCACTGCCACAACCGCTGGGCTTCACTTTCACATTTTGCACCTCCCCTTCACACTACTTCTTCCATAGATGCCGACCACATTCTTCGCTGCTGCCGCACCTTTGACCAGACCTCGCTATGACTTGTCATCGTCCCCTGCTCGTCGTCCAGTCCCGATCACCCCCACAGCGTTTTGCTGCTTCCCCGACCTATTCGCAGAACCTCTGACCGAAACACTAGGCCGTGCAGCTTCTGGAGGTGGAGCTGCATTGACGATCTTAGCAAGGAATCCTTGATTAACGTTAACGACAAACCCGAACCTTTTGGACGTTACTGTGGACAATGTTTGTGTGAGCGCATTGATAGATACTGGCGCGCATGCGTCTATTATGAGTCCTACCCTTTGCCGCCTACTTAACAAAGTTGTTACGTTCGCCCTCAACGCAGCTGTACAAATTATTGATGGAGAAACTGCCACAATTCTAGGCATGTGCTTTGCCAGAGTCTCTATTGGGGAGAGAAGCACTATCATTATTTTCGCCGTTACTGAATATTGCCCTCATGAACTCATTTTCGGTATGGATTTTCTTGCCACGCACTCTGCCCTGTTAGACTGTTCAGCTAGTTCTCTATACTTCGATTTATCTCTCCTTTCCGACCTGACCAACCTACTGCAAAGCCATCTCTGCTGCATTGATTTCACGCGCCTCCTGCCTAACTCTGTCACACACCTCGACTTATCCTCCATGCCACCAGTACCTGACGGTGATTACATGGTGGCCCCGATTCCTGCCTTGATGCTTACTCATGGGGTTGCTGTGCCGCACACGATTCTGACGATTACTGGAAACCGCACCTGCTTTCCGTTTGTAGGTTTCTCACTCACCGCCCTTGTTCGACTGCAGATCCCTGGCCAAAATTACCGCTCTTCAAGACGACAATGTCGAGCCCTTCAGAGTGGATGATTGCTGCAGCTCAGCTTGTGGTTCAACTCCATCACATTCCTCGGGCGTCAACATCGAGCGGATAATGTCATCGGACCTGACGCCTGAGCAATCTGCATTGCTTTCCCACATTCTTGAGCGTTATCGTCGCATTTTTGACTTTTAAGTATCTATTTAAGCCAAATGATTGTCGTTAATCATCGCATCAATGCTGGCTATGCGACTCCCATTCACCGATGCCCATATTGTGGTTCCTTATCGGAGCGTGCAATAGATCATATGGAAGTTGAGAAGATGCTTGCGAAATACATTATCGATCCTTTGTGTAGCCCCTGGGCTTCTTCCGTCATCCTTGTAAAAAAGAAGATTGGAACATGGCACTTTTGCGTAGATTACCTTCATGTTAACAAGATTACAAAAAAGGATGTTTTCGCTCTGCCATGCATCGATGATGCCCTAGACTGCCTGTACGGTGCTACTTATTTTTAAACTATCGAGGTCAAGCTACTGCCAGATAGCCATCGATTAAATGGACCGCAAGGCAACCGCATTCATTACTCCTGATGGTCTTTATCTGTTTAAGGTGATACCCTTTGGTCTCTGCAATGTGCCAGCCACATTTGAAAGAATGATTTATTTATTTTATTTTTACATACTGCAGCCCGAATTGGGATATCGCAGGAGTGGGTTTGCTATACATCAGCACACAAGAATACAACTCTTAACAAACAGGAATAGAACTCTTAATAAACAAATTCCGAATCAATACTTTCATGCAAGAAATTACAACTCTTAATAAACAAATCATGAATCAATACATTCATGCAAGAAATCTTCTAAAGGCAATGATCTAGTTGACCCAGGGAATATATTCCATTTATCTATAGTGTGCGGAAAAAAGCTGAATTTAAATAGGTTAGTACGTGGATGGAATGGTGTCAGGTTGAGTTTGTGGCTATTTCTTGTGGGTTTCAGTTTATCAGGAGACAGATAATCGTTAGTTAATGCGTGGCGGGGGGTATTAACAAGAATATGCATCAACTTTAGGCATTCGAGCTCGCGTCGCTCGGACAGGGTTTGCAGACCTAGCATAGCAAGTTGAGAGGAGGGTGGGAAATTCCAGTCGTAACG